CCCTGCCCTCATGGCAGGAACCAGTACTGTCTAGACCATCCCTGATAGACATTTATCTAACCTACTCTTAAATATCTCCACAGATGGAGATTCCACAACCTCCCTGGCCAATATGTGTGCTGCTGTCAGCCACTAAAAGAAATCACCGACTCAGCACCTGGAACCAAAGTTTGCTGAAGTGCTAAACCAGCTTTCACAGCACCAGTCTCTTCTGCATGCAGAGAATGTTTTCTTCATTTCAGTTTATTCAACTAGTCCAGTTCCATGACTTGTTCATTCAACACTGAGAAGCCAACTAGGAATTAAAAAAGCAGAAAAGCATGTTTCCCTCTTCCAATCTATGAATAAAGACACAGTATGAGCAGAAGAAACCTACTAGCTCTAAAATCTTGAAGGACATAGTGACCAAAAAGAAACAGTTCACTCCACTGTCTATAAATAATACTTCCTTTATTTAATAAAGCAATGAGCTTTCAATGACAAGCAGGTTTTAATAGGCTGTTTTTATGTGCCCAGCACATTGAAGGTTGTTTTATTTAACTAATGAAAAATTCAAAATGCTAAAGTTTTGTGCATTTTAATTGCACTACAATTTCCATCAAAATTAAAAATCACAAATAAAAATTTAAACATCTAGTAAAGAAATGTATTGTTCACTTTTTCCCAGCATAATAAAAATGTCAAAATTAAGAAGGTGAATAAATGTATTTAAGCAATTATATTGCTTAATTTACACGTGTAGCTATAGTATAGCCTCTTGGTTAGCAAAAAAGCACCACGTTTAGTGCAAATGCTATATTTAGTTGCAAATCAACATGTTTAAATGGTTACCAACCAATGAGACTCAACCTCTATTTAGGAAAATCATTTAAAAGTAAAAATGCAAAACAAGATTAAAATTGATTATTTAAATCAAGATTTTCTGCTTGCTAATTTAAATGATGATAGAATCCATAATCTAAATGTATATTTAAATGTATATTTGAATTATATTTATAATCTAAATTGCTCTGATTTAAATCAATCCCCCCAATGCATAGTAGGCTACTACTTTTTTTGCCCTTCCTTGTTTGTTCACACACAGCTTTGCTGCTATGTTGACTGTTTCTACCTGGAGTACTTGGTTCTGTACATGAGAGAGAAAGGACCTGACAGTCCAGTGGCTTGCTCTTAATCTAGCATCCTGATATGCAGACCATCTTCCCCATGGTCCCAGCGAGCATGAGCAGTCAGGCTGCTGAAGCGGTCTCCACATCGCAAGTGTGAAATGTTTGAGGTTACGTAGCCAACAGAGCTGATGGATAGAGGGACCGAAGCCACAAGAGGAATTTTGAGGGAAATGATAACTGCCTAACAGGGCCTCTTATCGAGTATCTCTAGTGCAGTCAGTAGTTCCATATTTCCCTTTCCTATTAGGCAGGGTAAGTATACCCACCCTCCTTTTCTTCTTCAACAGGTGCAGCAACAGCCACTAAGCTGGGACGCAGATGGGTGGGGAAAAAAGAAAAAAACCTTTATACAGTAGTTGATAATAGCGTGTCTGCTCTTTTACACATAGCAGGATTTGACCATATGCTCATGGCTGTCTGCAATGCACTTTCCGATATGGGAAGTGAGATTTCACGGCTGGAAGGGGGCCTGAAAATATCAGACACACATTGAGATGTCTCTTCCACTGTGTTTAATAGCATTTTCAGCATTGTATCCATTCTTTCTACTGGCATGGAGCTGGTTTTGACACTCTTTATGACCCTGGTGTCCAAACAGTTCTGAAGCATTAGTGGCTACTCCTATAGCAAACTAGCCACACTCACCCAGCCAAATAGCCACATGTGGCTAGTGGCTACCGTGTTGGACACCACAGCCTTATGAGCTTTTGAAGTAAGGTGCTGTATATGGCACAGGAAGAGAGGGAATGGCCTTCCTCCAGCAGGCCAGACACCTAACATGGATATCTCAATCTTGGAATACAGGACGAGAGACACCTCTCTTAAACCCTGGCCTTTTCCCCTTCTAGACCCCCAAAGAATCATAGAACACTAGACCTGGTAGAGACTGCAAGAGGGCATCGAGTCCAGTCCCCTGCCCTCACAGCAGGACCCAGTACCATCTACCATCCCTGATAGATGTCTGTCTAACCTGCTCTTAAATATTTCCAGAGACAGAGATTCCACAACCTCCCTAGGCAACTTATTCCAGTGTTTAACCACCCTGACTTACGCTTTTTCCTAATGTCCAACCTAAACCTCCCTTGCTGCAGTTTAAGCCCATTGCTTCTTGTCCTGTAATCAGAGGCCAAGGAGAACAATTTTTCTCCCCACTCCTTGTAACACCATTTTAGATACCTGAAAACCGCTCTCATGTCCCCTCTTAGTCTTCTCCTTTCTAAATGAAACAATCCCAGTTCTTTCAGCCTCCCTTCATAGGTCATGTTCTCCAGACCTGCCATCATTCTTGTTGCTCTTCTCTGGACCCTCTCCAATTCTCCACATCTTTCTTGAAATGTGGTGCCCAGAACTGGACACAATACTCCAACTGAGGCCTAATCAGCACAGAGTAGAGCGGAAGAATGACTTCTCGTGTCTTGCTCCCAACACCCCTGCTCATGCATCCCAGAATCATGTTTGCTTTTTTTGCAACAGCATCACACTGTTGACTCATATTTAGAGTTGGTGGTCCACTATGACCCCTAGATCTCTTTCTGCAGTTCTCCTTCCTAGACAATTGCTTCCTATTTTGTATGCATGAAACTGATTGTTCCTTCCTAAGTGGAGCACTTTGTTTTTGCCCTTATTAAACTTTATCCACTTTAGCTCAGACCATTTCTCTAATTTGTCCAGATCATTTTGAATTATGACCCTATCCCCCAAAGCAGTCGCAACCCCTCCCAGCTTGGTATCATCTGCAAACTTAATAAGCGTACTCTCTATGCCAATGTCTAAATCATTGATGAAGATATTGAACAGAATTGGTCCCAAAACAGACCCCTGCGGAACCCCTCTTGTTATACCCTTCTAGCAGGATTGTGAACCGTTAATAACTACTCTCTGAGTATGGTTATCCAGCCAGTTATGTACCCACCTTATAGTAGCCCCATCTAAGTTATATTTGCCTAGTTTATTGATAAGAAGATTATGAGAGACCATATCAAATGCCTTAGTAAAGTCTAGGTATACCACATCCACCACTTCTCCCTTATCCACAAGACTTGTTATCCTAACAAAGAAAGCTATCAGATTGGTTTGATATTATTTGTTCTTTACAAATTCATGCTGGCTGTCACCTATCACCTTATTATCTTCCAGATGTTTGCAGATGAATTCCGTAATTCTGTGGTCACCAATCCATTAATCATGATTTACTGGTAAATTGCGGGGTCACTACCAGTCGATCATGAGGCATTCTGGTTCCCCCTTCAATCCCCCCACCCACAAGAAGGAGCCTGCGCTGATGCTACCTCCCGCGAAAATGGAGGTAGCGCCGGTTTCCTGCTGTGGGGGGGGTGGGGGGAGGGAAGGGGCAAAGTCCCACAGCTGTGCACCAGGTCTGGGTCTCAGGAAGCACACAGGCTGCTTTTCCCCTCCCCTAAACAGCTGGCACACTTCCTGAAATGCCGGGTCTGTCGTGCCACGGGGGGACTTCCTTCCCCCTGCTGCCTTCCTGCATGGAGGGAGGTGGGGGGCATAGGAGTCCCAGGACAGGTGCCAGCACCAACTTCTCAGGAAGCGTGAATGCTCTTCCTCTGCTCCCGACAGCTGCGTACTTCCTGAGAAGTTGGAGCTGGCGCACAGTCCCAGAACTCCTCTGCCCTCCCCACCCCCAACACCACGTACAGGAAGGCAGCAGGGGGAAGGAAGTCCCCCCGTGGCACGACAGACCCGGCATTTCAGGAAGTGTGCCAGCTGTTTAGGGGAGGGGAAAAGCAGCCTGTGTGCTTCCTGAGACCCAGACCTGGTGCACAGCTGTGGGACTTTGCCCCTTCCAGGCTGAGCTGTTCCTGGCCCCTTCCCCGGCCAGCAAATACCGTGCCCCAGTCCCCACCAGCACCCTGCCCCAGCACTCACCAGCACCATGCCCCAGCCCCTACCAGCATCCTGCTCCCTGCTCCAGCACCATGCCTCCTGCCCAAAACTCCACCAGCACCCTTCCCCCTGGCCAGACACCATACAGCACCCTGCCCTTGCCTTATGGCCAGACACCCACCAGCCCCTGCTCCTACCCCTGACCAGTCACCATCCAGCACACTGTCCCCTTGCCAGACACCCACCAGCACCCTGATCCTGGCCCCTCCCTCCTGGCCAGATCCTGGCCCAGCTTGCTCCTGTACCCTCCTCGTGGAACAAGGAGTAACGGTAGTTCAAATTAGAAAGCCTAATTCGAACTACCTACTCCATGCCGCGTGTAGCCGCTGGCATGGAGTCCGAACTACCGGGGCTTTAAAAATGGCGGCGCCCGGCAAGATGCAACTTCGATTGCCTACATTAACCACCCTTGTTCGAACTAGGGTGGTAGTGTAGACATACCCAAAGTGTGTAATATGGCTTCTTCCCTTGAGCGGTCTGGTTTTGTGTAGAAGTGGGGTAGGACTATCGGCTCATTGATATGGAATTCAGAACCAACTTTGGGTAAGGATGAACAAGGCTGCAGAATAACTTTATGCCTTTGAAAAGTTGTTATGGAGGTGAGGCCGTGAGTGGTGAAAGTTTGCTAACCCGCCTTGTGGACGTGACTGCAAGCAGGAATATCTTCATGGTGAGGAAGGTAACAGATGAAGTTGCCATTGGTTCAAAGGGTTGTTTTGTGAGTGAGTGGAGGACCAATTCTAAGTCCCACGTGGGGGGTATAGGTGTACGCGGTGGGTGTTGGTTTTGTAGGCCCTTCCAGGATCTACTAGAGATGGGGTGAGAAATATGGAGAGCCTGTCAATGGGAGGGTGGAAGACTGTAAATGGTGGCCATGTGCACTTGGAGACCTGAGAGCGACAAAGTTTGTTGTTTCAGATGCATAAATGTATTCCAGTATCAGGTGGAGTGGTGCCCTAGAGGGTTGGACTCCCCTGTGTGTGCACCACTGTGTAAACCGTTGCCATTTGTACAGGTAAGTCTTGCATGTCGTTTGTCTCCTGCTATGCAGTAGGGCATTTTTCACTTGTTGGAAGCACAGTTGCTCCGCTCCCGAGAATCAGATACCATGCCATCAGGTATGAAGTATTGAGCCCTTGTTCTGGGAGAAAAGGTTTGAGAGGTTTAGAAGCAGGCAGGGAGGTCCTAGAGACAGGCAATAAAGACATGGGAACCCTGTCTGTCAAGGCCGCACTGGGGCTATTAGAATCACCCAAGCCCCATCCACCTGTATCTTCTGGAGGACTCTGGGAATGAGAGGGATGGGAGGGAAGGCGTATAATAGATGCGTCCCCCAAGTGAGGAGAACTGCATCTCCCAGGGAGCCATGTCCTATGCCCGCTCTCGAACAGTACTGGGGGCATTTGGAGTTCTGTCGGGTCACAAAAAGGTCTATCTGTGGTACACCCTTGCGTTAGAACAGCTCGCAGGTGGTACTTAGCCAGAGGGTGTGAAGCTATTTTTCTCTGAGTCACAAATTTTACTACAGAATCTAAGTTTTCATTTCTAACAAAGTTCCCACCTCTGTGGATGGGAAGGTACTCTACCAGATACAGTACCTGCACTAATAAGGTTCTCTGAACAGATCCCATTAAGAAATAGGCAGTTCATGTTCTGTCCACTGAAGAGATACCCTGTTCCTGTGAGGTGTGGAAGGTCCATAAGAAGAGAGACCTGTTCCAGCAGCACATAATAGATCCATGGTGGTGAAAGAATGCATCCTTGTTCTGCTGGACACAAAGTCCCTTAAGAACATAAAAACGGCCATACAATGGTCCATCCAGCCCACTATCCTGTTTCCAACAGTGGCCAGTGCCAAGTGCTTCAGAGAGAATGAACAGAACAGGGAATCATCAAGCAATCCAACCCGTCATCAGATCCCAACTTCTGGCAAAGAGAGGCTAGGAATACCAAGAGCAAGGTCAATGAGGCTTATCAGGTTCACCGGGACTCACAAACTCCACCTCCTGCAAGATTTAGGAGCCTAATCCTAAAACATCCTCCTTCCCATGATCCTTCGGAGGCTCATAGTTTCCATGCATAAGCTAGGCCCTCCCACCCCTACCAGTGGCCTTACAAGGCTCCTTCTTCACCAGGCCATCAATGATGCAGAACAGGCTCCAAGCCAATTGAGTCTCATGCAGGCAAAGGGTGGTCTTGCTCAGCCATGTGACTTTGGCCAGCCTACTATACTCTCATGCATTTCCAGTAGCTCTGATTTCCATCATGGGTATGCCTCCTTCACTAGGTCACCAAGATGCCAAATTCTCTTCTTAATCAGCTACCTGCCTGGGTTCCCACGAGACCCAACATTAAACCATTGTCACAGGTCAGCTGTCTCCCAAGTGATCCTGGTGGCTAGGGGTGGCTCTATAGCCCCCTCCCTCAATTTCCCTCCTTGGACTCCTCAAATACTCACAAGAGACTTTCACAAGCTCAACAACGGCCCTTCCTGGGCTCTCGTTTATTGACCTGAACTTCACAATTACCCAAAAGTCTTTCTAGGTTGAGGAACTCCATCTGCTGGCTCTCTGAGCCCACCATCTTTACCTTCCTCCAACAGGAATAAACCCTCCAACTACAGCTTTCTAGCTAGGCTCCCTCAGGGAGCACTGGAGGAGGTATCCCCTTCCTCCAGTCTCACCCAGCAATCCCCTCTGAGCTGCCCACAGACCTGTTTTTCTACCCCTCTCTTCCCCCACCCCACTGCCAAAAAAACCCTTTGTTTAGTCAAATGACCGTCTGTGTCATGATTTAATTCACTCCCTCAACCTAGGCAACCAAATCAGCTGTGCCCCAGATAGCTCAGACCTATATCCCTGTAGAGGACAACAACAAACAATGTTGTGGTTCTTGCTCTTCATGGCACTAGTTAATGCACCTAGTGAAATTCAGCCACACAGCTTTACTTAATATTAAGGGAATTTACTTGCACATCACACTGAACACTAACCCAGACTTTCCCATTCACAGAGTCTTAATTTTTTGGGCTTCCAGACTTGCCCAGTCTGTCACTGATATTTTCCGTAACCTCCTCTAATTGTACTGCTGTCCCCACCATTTGGTTCTTACCTCGCTGCCATTTGTATTTTCAGATCTCTATGGTGTATCACCTGTTCTACCTTAACATTTTGTCCTGCTTGGTTTGATATTAGCACATTATCATTCCGTTTCCTTTTCCTTGGCTATATTTCCCTATTTTTTGTCCCTCCACCGTGCATTTGCTTTACATACTATCCCTGAAGCTAACATGTCATTTGCCATTTGTGTTTACTTAAGGTAAGCTCCTGACTCCAGCTGGAGTTTTGCACACTACTGCAGATTCTCCCATTCCTGACCAAAGGAAGAAGGGAGAGTAGCAAAATACACACCCTGGACTTCAGAAAAGCAGACTTTTGACTCCCTCAGAGAACTGATGGGCAGGATTTTGAAGCACTTGGAGGAGGGAAAAGTGATCAGGAAGAGTCAACATGGATTCATGAAGGGCAAGTCCTGCCTGACCAATCTGATTGGCTTTTATGATGCGGTAACTGGCTCTGTGGACATGGGAAAGTCAGTGGATGTGATATACCTTGACTTTACCGTGATATACCTTGACTTTCAACAAGAACAAGTGTAGAATCATGCACTTGGGAAGGAAGAATCCCAAGCATTGTTACAGGCTGGGGACCGACTACCTAAGTAACAGTTCTGCAGAAAAGGACCTGGGGGTTACAGTGGATGAGAAGCTGGATATGAGTCAACAGTGAGCCCTTGTAGCCAAGAGGGCTAATGGCATATTGGGTTGCATTAGGAGGAGCACTGCCAGAAGATCTAGAGAAGTGATTATTCTCCTTTATTCAGCTCTGGTGAGGCCACATCTGTCCAGTTCTGGGCCCCCCACTATAGAAAGAATGTGGACACATTGGAGAGGGTCCAGAGAAGGGCGATCAAAATTATTAGGGGGCTGGAGAGCATGACCTATGAGGAGAGACTGAGGGATTTGAGCTTGTTTAGTCTGTAGAAGAGAAGAGTGAGGGGGGATTTGATAGCAGCCTTCAACTTCCTGAAGGGAGGTTCCAAAGAGGATGGAGTGAGGCTGTTCACAGTAGTGACGGATGGCAGAACAAGGAGCAATGGACTCAAGTTGCAGTAGGACAGGTCTAGGTTGGCTATTAGGAAAAACTATTTCACTAGGAGGGTGGGGAAGCGCTGGGTTGGGTTCCCTAGGGAGGTGGTGGAATCTCCATCCCGAGAGGTTTTTAAGTCTCAGCTTGACACAGACCTGGCTGGGTTGCTTTAGTTGGGATTGGTCCTGCCCTAGGCAGGGGGCTGGACTTGATGCCCTCCTGAAGTCTCTTCCAGTTCTATGATTCTATGATTCCTAGTCTCACAGCTCTAACAACTTCCCTCTTGATTCATATCCATACATTTTCTGGAAGTAACCATTTGTCACAGTGCTTAGCTTAATGAGCCTTATTGTACATAGTCTGCCTGTAGTGATAATCTTGCATATTTCCTTTGAAAGAATAAAGCCCTTGTTAAATAAGGGGATACGTAGTAAAACAAACATTTGCGTAGCATCTGTGTGACTCACACAAAGACAAAGCCATCCTCACAATTAAAGCAATGGGGAACTCACGCTGAAGCCCCTCTGGCTTAAAAGTCTTCATATAATCAGCACCTACTCAGCAAATGAGCCATAGTTTGTAACCACAGTGTCAGTACAATAATTCCTTACTTAAGTGCCCGCTTAACACGTTTTTGCAATAGCACAATTTTTTTTTAGGGAACATTTTTCGAACAATACGACCCGTCCCTGCAATAACACGATTTCCTGTACTGGTCGGCCGGTCACCGGCAGCTGCACGGGGCTTCCCCTGCCTCCCTGCAAAACGGCGGGGGTTTGCTGTGCTGTTCCCTGGCTACTCCCTCTGGCCGGATGCTTTGCGTGAGGTGAGGAGGGGTCGTTAGGGAACGGCACAGCGAGCAGCAAACCTCCGCCGCTTTGCAAGGAGGCAGGGGGAGTCCCACGCAGCTGCCGGCGACTGGCCAGCTAGGGAAACCCAGCTGCCGGCTGCAAGCCCCCCTCCCCTGTCCTTCCCTTCTCTAGAGCCAAACACCTCCCCTCCCTGCTGTAATCCAGTCCTCCTTTGTCCCCCAACCTTATGTCCCGGTCCAAGCTGCTAACAAGCGCAGGCTGGAGCTGCAAGCGCATGTGGGCTTGAAAGGTAACCTCCACCTTTTCCATGATTTTCAATGGGAAAATTGACCCCGCATAACACGTTTTCACTTTGCACGATCATTTTCTGAAACATATCTACTGTGTTAAATGAGGAATTACTGTAGTTTCCTAAAAATTATATGGGGCCCAATTCCACGAGGTGCAGAGTATCTTCAGTTCCAATTTGCTTTACTGGAAATCTAAGGAACACAGTGGGACAGGGCCCCCATGCTTTATGAAAACTGGCTCAGGAATATAAGTATGTATAATTTGGAAATGCTTTGGACAAAATACCTCCTTTAGCCGATCTATTCTAATGTTACAGTCTGCTGGACCTATATGTATCCTATTTTGGTGCATGTATCATTCTTGTATGAGAAGTTAGAAATATGAAGTAGGAGACTGTTTACAGTTTTAGATGTGCTAATGAGAGGCATTACTGGTGCCCTCCCCCCAAGACTTGACTTAACTTGGTGATCAACTTAACAACTTGTAAACAGCCTTGTTTGGCATTTAAGTCCAGAAAGTGGTTGGTCCTAGGAAAACATGTGACCATACTACCTGGCACTGGGATTCCATTTTGACCCTGGTATTTTTCCATGGAAGGGGGGGATGTAAAACAAAAGATTCCTGTCCTAGGGGAGAGCCTATTTAAGCAATGGGAAGCTATCAGCCTTTTGTCTTCTGCTGATCTGGGGAACAGCCTGGAAGGACACAAAGAGGGTTGGAGACCCAAGTCAGAGTGAAAGAATTTGTCTCTGAGTTGAAGATTATGCCTGAAATAAGAACCACTCTTTAAGTTAAGAATTTGTATGCAACAAGCTTTTTCTTTTCCTTTTAATTTAGACACTTTCTTTGATCTGTCCATTTTTACTTGTAACCACTTAAATCCAACTGTTTTTACTTAATATAAACATTTTTACTATCAGGCCCAGTGTAAATAATTGGTACTTTGCAGGGAAAAACCACTGGGCACATCCCTCTTTCACTGATAAAAGGGGCTTATCTGATGAGCTTCCACTGTGTAAAATGTTTACACAGAGAAAGATGATTTATTTGGAGGTTTTTGGTCCCATTTGGAAGTTAGTTTCCTTGGTGATGCACCCTAGAACTGCATCCTCCCAGAGCCAAGTGGTTCAGCATGTGTTGCTCTGCATGGGGGCTGGTTACCCCAACTCTTGCCTGTGAGAGACCAGAGGATGACACCCAGACGGACTAGGTGGGGGGGAGCCACAGAGAGCAAGAAGGCAGGTGTCAATGGCATGATCAGCATGCTGGGGAACAATCTCAAGGGGTCTTTTGTGACCGCACCCTATCACATGGATCTGTTGCCTTTACTGCCAGAGATTTATTTCAGAGAAAGCCACACTCCTTTCACAGTCATGTTCTCAAATCAATCATTAATTACCCTTTAAACCACCCCAAAAGACAAAACCTCACTTAACAAAGCAAGTCCAGGGAGGAGTTAAAGATGAACTATTCATGTAAAGTTGAAGCTTCCTAGTCTTGTAACCTTTCTAGCCAACAGTAGCCTACACTTACAAACATTAGTCCTAAATCCATCTGTGCAATCCCCATCTCAGTTCAGCACAGGCCCACTTTATTAACCTTCAGAGCACCGGGGAAGGCCTATTTTCCTTTGGTTTGTAAGGGGGAAGCCATGCCTTCGCATTCAGAGTGTGTGGCATGGTTAGCTGCCTATTTCAGTTCACATTTGATGGAACATTTTTCCTGTAAATGGTACATGCACCCAGAGCTGTTTGATAAGTGTGTAGTATGAATTTGAATCCATCAGATGGCTGGCTATGTTTACAAATATATCTTCCTGATCTGTATTTATAAAGTGTTCTCACAGAGGCTCTGTCTGGGTCAGGCTGGATTCTCCCCGGGGCAGAGGGAGCAGGGTGCCTGCAGTGCCTACACATCCTCACAGGATACCATTAATCCAGCTGGCACCAAAGCCCTCTTTGTTTCAGAAGAATCCTTTTCAACTAGGGATGTCAACGTATAGTCCACTACATCAGTGTTTCTCAACCAGTGGTACAAGTACCCTTGGGGGTATTTGAGAGAAGTCTGGGGGTACATCAACACAACTGAAATTTGGAGGAAAATGAATGTTTAAAGTTTACAGTGCTTTACCATTTTTGTACTTTTTACACCCAAAAATTTCATCGCCTGCCAGGCTACAATTATGTTGTTTAAACAAATGTGTTGAAATGATAGAAAAAAATTGTGTCTTAAAACTGTAGGTACTGGTGGTACTCTTTTTTTTTTTTTTTGGAAAAGGGATACTTTATACAAAAAAAGGTTGAGAAACACTGCTCTACATGATTAACCAATAAACTTTGGCTTATCTGTTTATCTTATCCACGCATACCCCCTCCCTTGCTGCCTCTGTATCAGAGGCAAGAGAGGGGCGAGGGGGGGGGGGGGGGGGGGAGAAACAGGAGCTGGTGCCCGGGAGGAGCTAGCTTGAAGCAGGCTCCCAACAAGTACTGGATCTGCCTGCACCTCCCCGCCGATAGAGACAGCAGCGCAAACGGTGAAAGGGGCAGGCTGGAGCAAAACATGTGAGAATTCATCTGAGAGCCAGAGGGGAAATGGAGACGTGGATGAGCAGGCTTGGGCTATGGACCTCTACACGGCCCTCTTGTGTATTCTCCATAGCTGGACCAGCCACACCACCACTGCAGCCAGCTGCCAGAGTCCGGGGGAGCCACAGACAGGACAGAGTGGCAGAGGACCTAATGCGGCAATACGTCAGCATCATGCACGACACCCTGACACGCAGGCTTGATGCCGACCTAGAATGACGGGAGCATGCGTGGACTGAGATGAAGTCACATTGTGACATCTGTAACATCCTATCCCTCATGAGGGAACACCCGCCCAATGCCACTGTTCCTGCCTTCCCCCCTCTGGCCCCTCCCCCCCCCCGTGGCCCTTGCTATGCCTCTCGTCCCTCTCCATGCCATGCCTCTGCTCCCACCCTTCCCCATGCCCACGCCTCCTCCCCAAGCAAGGCCTGTAGCTCCCTCCTCCTGCTCTCCCTCCCAGCCAAGCCTGACCTCACTCTAGATGCCCCTCCTGCCCACCTCTTTCTGGTCCTCAGACCCACCCAACGCCGAAGAGGTCCCCCTCCCGAAGGCAGCAGCGCAGGCTGCCCCACTACTCCTCCCAGTCCTGATCCCCCTTCCAGGCCAGACATCCCCCCTCCTCTGCCACCTTCTCTTTA